TTATGAATGAATCCTGATTTCTTTAAACTCTGCTTTGGTCGCCTCCAGCAGGTTTTAGAAGTAAGTCAGAGGTTCTGCGGTTTGTAGGAAGTAAAGAAAGCGACCAGCTTCATGTAGACAATCACACAAATGAATGAAGTTTGGTTGCATAGAAGCACAGTTTTGTTGAAACTCTGCAGGAGCTCGAGTTCAAACTCCAACAGATTTGCTCTGTGAGTGTTTTGTGTTCTTCTTTGAGAAACAATCATAAATAGTTCTGGTTCCGTGATGGTCGCATCGCCTCCTTGTTCTGCATCACTCTGATCTTGGAACCCGACTTTGAACAACCCACCTAACGTTTCCTGCTCCTCGTCTTGTCCAGCGACCCGTCAAACAAGCATTCGCTGCAGTTTGCTGATCAGCAGCGCTTTAAACAGCATGTAAACATGAATGTAAGCGTGTTCCAGGTTGCTGCTGATGAGATCTTCGCTCTTTAACTCTGCCAACAGAACGACACCGAGGCTGCAGCAGAAGTTTGTTTACCGGGTCTCCTGCTCTGTAACACCAGAACTCGGGCGTCCTGCCAAACACGGACACTCAAACACCTCCACAGCCAGCCGGGACAGAAAGAGAATATCTGATGTTTACCTCTTTTATTATTAAAAACAACTCTCAGCACACTGAGAAAACACAGCGACGTGACTGTAGACGACACAGAGGGAAAGAGTTCAGGGTGTTTGTAGTATGCAAGCATTAAAAAGTGATAAAATGTGAGTTATTGACTACATGTTTGAAGCTTTTTCAATCTTATCTCCATAATTATTGACACCCCTGGTTAAGATGTGTTCTTTAGCTTCTAGTAAATTCAGTTTTTTTCTAAATAATATTGGACCACAATGAAAAAAAAGAGGAACCTTTAATTCAAGTGCATTTGCTCAGTGTGAAAAAAAATCCCACATTAAAAAATAAATCATGTGCACCACAATTATCAGCACCCTTGATGTTAATACTTTATACAACCCCCTTTTGCCAACAATTCATCTAAGTTGAGTTGAAGGTTTCATTTTTCTACTATTTTCAGTGTGAGACGATGCTTCTGCAATAAAAAAAATTGAATTTATTTTAAGGCTTTTAACACATCTTAACCAATAATTATGGAGGGCGCTGTGTAATTGGTCGGCTACAAAGGAGAGACAGTGAAGGGCTAATATAAATATCTTTCCTCTCAAAACAGTTTAGATGTGTAGGAACAGAACTTTGTGAAGACTGCAATGAAATCTGCGCTCATGACCGACTGCATCAGTAGCTGTAGGTCGCATGTTGTGTCTCCTGATGATCGGCTTGTGTGGCTGGCCTGGAACAACACCGCTGCACCCATGATGCACTCTTGAACGTTTACTCATCCAATTTCTGGAAGCCTGGGCGGCTTTGTTAAGGCTGCTGCCTCCACGACCCGACTCCGGATAAGCGGGAGAAGATGGATGGATGGATGGATGGATGGATGGATGGATGAATTTCTGGAATCATTTTTTTTGCCGTCGAGTTACCGAGTCACGACTGTTTATGTTGTCACGTAACAATCAAGACACGAGCTTCTCAAAGTCCTGCTTAGAATAAAACTCCAGCACAAGTTCATGCAAAGGGCTTTCTTTCTTCAAGCCTAAAGTGTGTTTAATTGAAGGAAATCTTTAGAAAGTTTTTCCAGATCGTCCTGTGTTGCTCGAGACTGACTCTAGATCGACAGAGGAGGCAAAGAAGTGAATTTTTAACTCATTTATTTTAGCGAGAATCAAAACTACTGATGCCAATAGTTGCAAAAAATGCTCCATGTTGGATCAGTGTGCCCCTACGTTAAACATAAAGTGTAGCTGTCATGTATTCAGTGATGCTGCTCCCAAGTGATTGGGCTTTAATGTGGTTTATTCCCTTTTTTTTTTTATTGTCATGATGATGTTAATGCTGGGGAGAGTTTGTCACATTAGAGAATTCGCTCGTAGCTCCTAAATATTTTCTTCACGACATAATTCCTCCAGCTAGTGGTGAAAACATACGACTAAATCTGAATTAAACAACTGAGCCGTGCCTGCTTCGGTTTCACGCTGGTCCGACCGCAAGAGACGTGACGTCTAATCGCACATCAGAGGTCGGAGGTCGCGCTGATTGCAGGCGAGCGGCCATTTCTGCCGCCAGCCTTCAATGTGTTTTTTACCGTCTCGCCTGATTTGAACTCGTATATTTGCTGCTTAAAAAGTTTCAAGTGACTCGATTAGATGTTGTTTTGTTATCGCGAATCGTTCCGGACGTCTGACCTTGAATCAAAATCGGACCTCTGAGTTTGATCTAATCTGGATTTTGAAACCCTCGAGCGATTCCCCTCCGGCGTGTTTGCTCAAGTGGAGGTTCAGTGTTTGTTCTGCGCACGTTTCACATGAACAACACACGTATGTGAATGCGTGGACGGGCGCAAACATTATCAGCGCAGGAGCAGAGATGGAGGGGGGACGAGGAAATAAGACGGCGGAGGCTGTTTGTCTCCGAGGACAAAGGCTCCCAGAGAGAAGTGACACAATAGACTCCATTCACAGCAGCACAAACAGCATTATGGCGTTTTGTCCCTGTGACTGGACGTTATGCAAACAGCCAAAGCACCAGGAGCACAGCTGGATGTGCAAACAGCTCCTCAAAGCACAAACAGCACACTGGAGAAAGACAGAAATCCTGTGAAAATGCAAAAAAAATTAACAAGAAAACCCCCAGAAAAATAACAGAACAGTGAAAATCTGTTACCAAAAATAAGAAATAAATAAAAAGGAGCAAATATCTGTTAGATAATCAGATTGTTTTTGCACATATACATGCAGCAAAATGTTTAATAATGCTATTTCTTAAAAAAATAAAATAAAATGTGGATATTATGTGCAGTTTTTTTCCATTAAAATATATTTATATTGTCTGTAATTTAACAAAATCTGAAAAATCTATAAAACTAGAGTTTAGGAATTATTTACTATTTCTCAATCCTCGGCATGCATTTTTTCCCCCTTTTTTAAAATAACGGAAAATATCTGTAAAATAAATATAAATTTCAATGGAATAAATACAGTAGAAGAGTATAATTTTATAATCACACGTAGTAAATGAACAGATTAGAAAACTAGACTTTGGATGTGGGCATTATTTACAATTTAGGCTTGTTTTTTTTACAGTTAACATGCATTTTTTTCCTGTAATTTAATTTAATTTAACATATTGAGAAAAAATTTAAATAATATTAAATTATTATGATTTTTATTTTTTTTATTTTTTTTATTTTATTTATTTATTTAATTTTTTTCTACCATTTTTAAGTCCTCAATATGCAGATTTTTTTCTTTCAAATAATGACAAAAATTGCAAGACTATTTAATATTTTTTTGCCAATGTTAAACCAGTAAAAAATAGTGTAATTTCACTGTCAAATATAAAAGAATAATAATAATAAGTTACCATTTGTGCTATTAACTCTTCAATTAAAACATATTTCCTGTGATTTTGCTCGTTATTGTGCAATTTAACAGAACAGATTTTGTTTTTTATAAAATAAAAATAAATGGTTGAACAATCAGCTTGATTCCTGATGTGTCTCTGACTGTAGGTCAGATATCAAACTCACATCAAACCTCTGCAGCTCCGACTCGGCATCACTTCCCTTCTTCTTCTTCTTCTTCTCTCTGCTCCGGTGCATTCGCTATTTTTTCCCCCTCGATGTTTACGTTACGTAACCAAAGTGGACACTTGGGTTTTGGAACATGTTTGGACGTTTTTGCTTGTTCTTTCCTTGTTTGTGTCCTGCAGCGTTGTGAGGTTATCACACAGCAGCTCAGCAGCACGTAAAACATCAGAGAACCGATCAGTCTGGGACGCTTCAGCAAACACACCGTTATACTGACATGATAGGAACCATCAGCTTTGTGTGGAAGACTTCATACATCTGTAAAGGTTTCTTAGAGGATGCAGCAGTGTGGCGTTTGTAATGTTCATTAATGGTTTAGAGATCGTTGGTCAGATATCGACAGATCTTTAGACAGCTTCAAGTGTTGCTGCACGACTTAAATAAACATGTTGGATGCATTTCACTTGGGAAACAAGCTTTTGGTAACCCTCTGAACTCCAAGTAGCTTCTGGATGTTTTTCTTTACTCACTGTGGGCTCATTTGTCACTACGATGTAAAGTCCTGCACCTCTGTGGAAACGACACAATCGTGGCTAGAAGTAGAAAAAACCCAAATAAGTATTGTGTGCAGTGTGACACAGTTACAGTGACATAAATGATTTTTTTAAAAAACGACAAACATGAAAGTTTCCTTGATTTTGGCAAAATTTGCAAAACCAGGAATGAACACATGCAACATTTTTTTTAAGTGCTTGCAGGTGTTAAAATGTGGCCTTCACATGTTAAAGGTATTTTACGGCCTACATGTTTACAGCCTCTGCAAATCTCTCTCTGCACATCAACTCAGAAAAGTCTTTTATGCAGTATGGGATAGATAAAATGATGCCATAAGTAATAATAAAAAGACCAAATTTAAGTACATTTTTTAAAATTTATTTAACAAAATATTTTTAAAATGCAAATAATCATGTAAAACCAATTTTCTAAGGTAAAGAGGAAAGTGACACTCTTTGTGGCTCAATGCAGAATCAACACAAGCTAGCGATGAGTTGAACAAACACTGGTATTATGATGTAAACCATGAAACAGTTTATGCACCCAACAACTGAAGGGCAGCTCCCACATCCTGGACCTGTACGCACTGGTTCAAAGGTGAATGTGCAGTAACAGCTGATGCAGGCCTCAGCTTGTGCACATTTTGATATATTTTGCAAACTGAATTGATAACACACTCGTCCACTCAGCCTGCCGTCACACCTCTCATGCATGTTGATGAATAAACGCAGGGGTCAAAGTGTTAAACCGATCTGCATCACATGGGCGCTGCAGCCTGAATGCTAACCTCTCGCTGTCTTCTCCGGGTTGCCAGGTTTGCCAGGGTTTTCCAGCATGTTTGGGAAGAAGAAGAAACGGCTGGAGATCTCCGCTCCGTCTAACTTTGAGCACCGGGTCCACACGGGCTTCGACCCGCGGGAGCAGAAGTTCACCGGGCTGCCGCAGCAATGGCAGAGCCTCCTGGCGGACACTGCCAACCGGCCCAAGCCCATGGTGGACCCCTCGTACATCACCCCCATCCAGCTGGCGCCCATGAAGGTAGAGAGCGAGCGGACAGAGGGCACCAGGCCTGAGCGCTGGGGACCAATCATTATCATTTCCAGTCTATTGCTCGCTCGCCTGCATCTTCTTTCTCTTGCTCATCATCGCTGTGGTCCTCCTCCGCTTTCACCCACACTCTCTCTCTCTCTCTCTTTCTGTCTGCATACGAACAATCCTTTTATTTCTTCTCCTCTCCACCGTCCTGAATCTGTTCCTCTTTTTTTTTTTTTGTTATTTCTCTGTCTGTGCATTCTCACTCTCTGTAGGTGTCTGTCACTGCTTCACTCTCCACCTGTTACGCTCTTTTTTCCCTCAGAGGCGAAACAGATAATTCTCCATAACCATCTGGCCGCTTCGCTCTGCTCAAACGTCTGAAAAATTTAGTCGCATTGTTGGAGATTATAGCGCTTTAAAACTGCATCAAGCAATTTTGTGACGCTGAAAGACTCCGAGCTCGCTGACAGAAGCCTTGCATGTGTGACTGTTGATGCAAGACATGAAAAAAGAGTCAGACAGACCAACAGTAAGGTTTGAAGCTCTCTACTTGTGCTGCTGTTACAGCTGCATTTTAATGGTTCAATAACAAATAAGTGAAAACAGAAGTAGCATTAGTGTGAGAGATGTCCTGCAGGATTGTCGTCCACATGGCTCCTCTTCAACCGATCGACTGGTGGCGCAGAAAAGTCTAAATCTGCATTTCATCCATATGTTAACAAAACCTCTGAGTGCACTCTACCTGCAGCCTCATTAGCATAAACGACATAGAAAGCGAGTATTTACAGAATATTAAATCATTAGAAGCTGATTATTTTATACTAAAAAGATCATGAAAAGCAGATTCAGTATACATAGGATTTCTGAAAATAGAACATCAAGAAGAAAAAAAGTTCTGTTTTAACTTTAGTTTCCCAAAACTTGTTTAGATGTTCGTTAGATGTGACGCTGAATCTTGTGCAGGAAAAAGCAGGAAAGGTTTTCTCTGGATAACTCTTCCGAAATAGGTCATTCGTTGCAATCAAGTGGACGTTTTGATTTGCCTTCAGAGCAATCATTAAAGATTTTTTTGATTTTTCAGCAACATAAAGTTTTATTCTAATAACTAAATTGCGAAAATTGATATTTAGGAGGAAGAAGGAACTGTGTTGACATGAAACATCCTGAGTAGCAGAGGAATGGCTAGCTTTAGAGGTTTAGAAAAGTAATAGAATATCAGCAGTATGTAGAGCCACGATCTGCACCTAAAGAAGAAAGGTTAAAGAAATTCAGCTTCAGATTAGTATTTTTAATAAAGAGATTTACGTCATTAGAAGTTCTCTATCTTGCTTCATTTGTTCTGTTTCCACAGAGGTGCAGGACTTTAGAATATGAGCTCACAATGAGTAAAACAAACACCTCATTTATCACGTTAATTATTCACAGTAACAGAAACTTGAACCAAACCTTCTCACGCCGCCGTCATCATCACCAGCGTCTCTTCCTGGAGTCTGTCCGCCTCCCGCTCGTCCAAAATTGCTTCATGTAGCTTTAAAGAGTTTTTAAACTTTTTTTTTTTCTTTTTCTCCATTCAGTAATGTCACAGTTACCAGAAAGCGACCGATGTTTCCTCCTCATCCGGCTGTGTCGCCTCCCCTGTGAATGTGATCGTGTGTCTCCTCTTCTTTCTGAGTGTCTCCTCTGATGTGTTGTTGTTCATTGGCTCTTCTTAACATGTCACTTTGACACATTTTGTACACAACGGATAAAGCGGCTGTGGTTAAATATGGCCTCTTGTGAATATTGATATTTCTGTGCACCTTTCTCTGGGTTGTAGCACAACAACTGAGATTTATTGGGCCTAGTGGGGTCTTTTTTTTTAGGGTCACCGCTTAAAAATGTGGCATCTTTTTTCTCCTTCACTGTCCCATCATGCTGCACGAGTGACCCAAACTCTGACCTCTCAGAGCACCAGTGCCCTTTAGATTTGAGACCCAGGACCCTTTGTCTCGTGTGTGTTGCAGTAACACCTGCTTACACCAGTTAAAAGCAATTTTAAACAAATATTTGACTTTTAAAAAACTACATTTGCATCCACAGTGAGACTAAATGCACCATTAGACTCTGAGGAACCACTTTCGGGTCCTGCTGACAGGAAAAAAAAAGTTCTGTAATAGAGAACAGCAATATGCCACAGGAGATATCTCTGAAGAGGGGGAAACAAGAAAATAATTCTCTTGCTCTCTTCACAGATATCTCCCAAGAAAGTCCGGTCATCCGAAACGCCGTTGCCCAAAGTATGACTTCCTCTTCCCTTCTGTTTTTTCCCTCCCGTCCCCAGTTTTTTTTTTTCTTTTCAAATCTCACACAGTCACAACTTTGCCGTTTTGTTTCCACATCTCTGCCTGCTGCCATGCATCCAGGTGGAGGTGGCGTGTCAGCAGGAGCACATGACATAACTTACATCGCTCTGCCAGAGTCTTTTCTTAGACCTCATCTTCACTCTTCTGTTGTTTCATTCGCATGAGCCTCCCTAGATGAGATGAGACTAGCTGCAGTGGCATGTTCCCCCCTCGTCTCTCCCCCCTTTTGCAGTGGAGCGCCATTGATAATGATGCTGATGGTGATGATGATGATGATCGTAATGATGATAATGATGATGATGATAATGGGTGCTGAGATGTGAAGTGCATGTTGCCATGACAGCTGATTCTGCTCTGCTGGAGGCTACCGCTCTGTAGAAAATAGGTCATCAAGGGTTTGCATGTGTTCGATGAACCCTTCGATCCTCGTCTCCGTCTGACCCGAACCAGCCTCTGGCAGAGACAAACTGCCTCTCCTCTCTTCTTCTCTTTCTCTTTTCCAATCTAAAGCTCTTGGTCAATGAAGTTAATCAAACGTGAATGACTTGAAAAGATGTTGGTGCAAGTTTTTACGGTAGAATTTTCTTTGTTTGCGTTCAGGTTGTGCCTGTTTTGACATTTAAGATAGTTGATTTTGACTGACTAGTTTTTAAGAGCTAATAATCAAGCTGGTGGATGGTGTGAAGTGCAAATGGAAGAGATTGTGTCTATGACAATGAAAACCTTCGCCGTCCTTGTTGAAGCGCTCTCCTTGTGCAGTAACACTCTGCTTCCAGTGCTCCTGTAGTGTTTGTAACGCTGCATGGAAGTCCCGTTATACAAACACATCAAACATGCCACCCACAAAGAGTGCTGCATCTCTTAAACTGTACCCAAAGATCAACCCCTGAGCTTATTTTAGAGAGGAAGAAGTCATGAATCTAATGAGTAAAGCAGATGGGAGTGCCGATTGTGTTTTTGTGGCCAAAAATGTTTAGATCAAGTTTTTTTTTTTTTGCTCCAGATCCAATTCAAGTTATTAATATTTTGTATCTGCCAATACTGAGTCCCAATCTGATACCATTTTCCAAGAAATATACGCTTAAAGTGCAGTGAAGTTATTAAAATCAATCCAATGTTTATGCCTGGCAACTGAGCAGCTCTGCAATGCATTAAAAATATAAGATGGCATTTCTGCGTCCAAGCTGTTACTTATTGTTATCTAGGAGGTCATACACTGTGTAAGGCTCTGGAGGGGCAAGTCTGAAATGTATTGTCAAGAGAGTTGGGTGTAGCATGGCGTCAAAAGTTCAGCAAAAACCCATATTGTCTACATGAATGTCAGAAAATTAATTGTAGATCAGCTGTAGTACCTGGTCGTTCCACCAGGTGGAGCCTCGTTCAGTTTACTTCTGTGGCGACCAGAGTGTTGGCAAACAGAGAGCATTGTGGGTATTTTACTAGTAATGGGCATCATGACAGAGGCGTCTGTGGTGCTTAATGGGCAGAACTCAGAGCAGTGTTCCTCTGTCCCATATGTTACCGAAGTGCCTTCACAGCTCAGCTCATGTTCGTTTACTAAAACAGTGACATCAGCACAAGACAAATATCTCCGTATGTGTTTTAATTAATTGACTACTGATTGATTTTGCTGCTGATTATTGATTGAAGAATATTATTTCAAAATGTGTGTCCGCAACACCAACATGCTACAAAGTGTGTCGTCCCTTTTTATTCACAGCACAGAAGATCATTTTACATTTTCATCTTGAAGTCTCAGTTTATTCCTGTTTTGACAGTTACAAATGTACAATAGCTTTAATTTTCAAGCTTAAACAGCACAAAGCCAAATCCAAATATTGTTTTGTAGCTGTTCAAACTTGTGTTCAGGTTCAGATACAAGTTAGCATTTGGCCAGTAGCAGTCATGGTTTTTGTTGTGGACCATATCTGAACGTATTTATGGAAAGCTGGTGTAATTGTGTGAAAACAATGAATGTAAGCCCTCTGAAGCGATGTTTGTGCCGAGCGTGACCCTGCCTCCCAAGGTGGGCCGGGTTATTTATAGTGTCTCACCCGTGGCCTGATATCCTCCCTCCCTGGTCGCCCTGACACTTGATTGACACGAGGCTTCCTCTGGCTGGCAGACTCCCCCAGCTCTGTCTGCTCGCTGCGTGTTGGCGCACACACCAGGTGGGCCCGGATGAAGCGGTCACGGGCCTGGCCGAGCTCCAGAGTACAGAAAAAAGGTCGACGCCGTGCACGCCGCCCCGCTGCGGTTCGTGAGGGTCGGTGCGGTCACGAGGCCGAAATAACTACGAGCTCTGCCCTCTGGCTCGTGTGCTCATCGTTTATTCACAGGGCTCGTTGCCTCGTTGTCGGACCGCTCATCTCGGCTGAGCATCAGCGTTGCTCAGAGCGCCGGCTCCCCCTCCTCCTCCTCCACCAGCCCTTAGCAGACATGCTAATCCACAAGTATAGGCTAACACCATGCCCTGACAGCAGCTCCATGTTTTAAACATCGCAGCCTGAGAATCCAAAGCACTCCAAGCTACCTCTTTGTTGTGTTTTCATGTGTGACCGTGGGCGTGTGTGATGCAAGGTTGCATGCGTGTTAATGTGTTGCATTCGTTAGGCCTTGCAGGGGGGCAGCGCCGCGGCTATTATTAATGCCAGGCTCATGTTGCACCTTGACTTTGACACCCTCAGACTCCTGTAGAGCCGAGAGGGTAATTTACCGTGATGGTGTCTGCGTGTGCGCTCGTATGTGTGGGTCTTCTGCGGGCCTGTTAATGGTATCTCCTTGTTCTATTTGCTCATGTTTCCTCAGCCGTGAGCCGATATTAGATTTCTTGGTTCGTGTAAATAAGAAACAGAATGACCTGCGCGGGGAAGGTGACGCATTAACAGCAAAGAAGTTTAGCGCGAGCAGGGCCTTTGTGTGTTTCTACTCTTATTTACTGCCTCGTTTATGCTGCTTTTTACTGCTGGATGTCTTCCTACAGTAGCAAAACCCTGGCTTCATTTTCTCAGTGCAGAAACCAACGGGTGATGTCACGGTAGCTACGTCCATCTTTTATATAGGCTATGGTTAGTAACCCCAGATCTGTTACAGGTAGGTACAGGTGGGGAGGTGTAGCTGTTGCAGAAGCAGGTCTAGTGAGGAAATAACGGCGGACTGTGAGGCAGTCTTTGTTTAGCGAGCTTTGAGCTTCGTAGGTTTGCAGAACTTTTACGTGCACAAAAAAGAAGCAGCTATAAAACACTTTGAAGGAACCAAAAAGCAGAACATGGGCTCTTTAATGTTTACATCTTTTGCACACAGTTAGGCCGAGTAAAGACATGGAAGTAAAGTCAGACTACTTAAAGGTGGAGTCTGCGTGTCTGCAAAAAGACTGTTGATACTCAGCTAGCATAGACTGTATAAAAGATGGACGTAGCTGCCGTGACGTCACCCGTTGGTTTCTGCACTGAGAAAATGAAGCCAGGGTTTTGCTACTTCCTGGTTGACATCTTGGATTTTTGGAGTCAGTGACCCAAAAATTGTCGAATGGGGGCGGAGCCATAGGAGCAGCGATTGGTCAGACGGATTGAGAGGCGGGCCCTCTCTGCCCACCCACATTTACCGCCTTCTGCTGCTTCCTCTGTATGGTCGCTGCCAACTGTCAGTCAAGCCAGCCACGCCCCTTGCCCCGCAAAATGTTGACGATTTTTTTAAAAATTCAGTATTTATTTTCAGATTGGCCACCTGATCTCTGGATTTGACGATGAAAACTAATAAGGAAAAAAGTCCTGAGCTGTAGGAATGCAGTATTTCATGATCTGTGATCACTTCTTTTCCAATTCATGTCTATGGGAGCCAGGGCTTTTTGGAGCCAGCAGCTCGCGGACGCAGGTTTTTGACACTTCCGGGTTGGCTTCATTTTTCAGGGCCGGTTGCTACGTCCATCTTTTATGCAGTCTATGTGAGCTAGTTAGCATATTTAGCTAATTAGCATGTGTGAGATTTACCTTCCCTCTCACTCCCATTGCTTCCTTTCCCTTCCCGTGCACGAGCATACGCTGGAATAACGACGTGCACATCAGTCCAAGCTGCACTGGATTTTTCTCACACATAACGGTGATCTGGCACACCATGAGGAGGTATTCACTGAATCTGACAAAACATAGAATTGCTGATTTCACCTTTAAAGCTAAATATCATCAGAACACATGCAAAAGCATTTTAAAAAAGCAGCATTCTCTTTAGTGCAGGCTTTCAGTAAATGAAGCACTTTGTTTTGATCAGGAGTTTTATCAAAGCGCCCTGGAGGCATCAGCATCAGCAAATCAGAGAGACAGAAAAAAAATAAAATAAAAAACCCCAGTGAGGATTTCATGGAGGACCAAACCATCATGATTCCTGAAACCAGCTTAGAGCTTATTCCTCTTAATTCTGCCGTAGCTTTAGAGGAGAGATGTTCCCATTCACTGATAATAAGTGAGCCAGGAGGGATTGCAGTAACGTATGCGCCTCGTGTTTTAAGGTGGATATCTCGCTTTTAATACTCCTGTCATCTTAAAATTACACGCTCCCGTCCCAGATGAGGCTCGAATCAAATGTTTCCGCCGATACGTGAATTATTACTTCTCCCGTTGTCCGACAGCGAATGCAGCAACGGCGCCGACTGCTTATTATCTAAAGATTAAATGAACATTAGAGCGCTCTGTGTTTTCACCTGAGGTAGTTCATTTTCAGCCTGAATTATGTGCAGTCTGACACTTACGGTACGGCCTCATATTCGTTTCACTCTAATGCCACGTGGGCGGAGAGCTAATGTGGTTTAATGGCTCGAGTTGATTCGCAGGTTTCCCACAGATGAATCAGAAAAGGGCTAAAAGATGAATGGAGACGTTTGAAGGAATGCAGACGGCGCTGTTTAAAGCAGGTATTTAGATTATGCACCTACATCTCAG